AAAATTATATTTATGTCTAGAATGCTTTTATTTAGCAAAGAAAATATACACTTAAAATGTATCTAGTGTCATGTACTGACTAACTTTACTTAATTTTGATTAATTTAAATTGCAATATAAAAACTGAAGTGGCATAACATGTATTTCCATTAAATGTAGGTTTATCATTTTATAGAACTGTGTTTTACTTGAGCTATTGGAAATTTCATATCCAAATTGGAATATGTTGTAAGTTTAAAATGTACATTGAATTTCAAAACCTCCATTGGAAAAAAATAATATAAAAGTTCTAATAATTTTTGTAATGATTACAAGTAAAAATAGTGACTTTTATATATATTAGGTGTTATATTGGTTACAATATGTTATTAATATTAATTTTACATGTTTCCCTTTACCTTTTTAATGTGATCCTTCTAACTTTATAATGTGGCTACCAGAAAATTTAAAATTACTTATTTGACTTGCATTATATTTCTATTGAACAGCTCTATTCTAGTCATTTCCCTTCCTTGATAATATCTATAATAAGGAAGACAGGTTAGATGGAAAGTAAGGATGACATTGAATCACAAATTTTTAGGGTTAGAACGGGCCTTAAAGTGAGTAAAATCTCACGACTAATTTTAAGTACTCCCTTCATAGATTCAACCAAAGAGATCTCAATATGTGTACAACTTTTCTGTGGTTCATACTGATACTCACTATTTGTAGTATTCTAGCACCTCTTTCTGATGTACATAGTGAAGAGATTTTTTTCATATTGTGTTTCTGATTTTTTTTTTTAAGCAAATAACTAAGTTTGGAAGATTTTTTTTAATACTAAGCCTATTATTGGTTTCCAAGTTTAGGGGAAAAGGTTAATATGTGAAAGGGAATTATACACATCTGTTTTCTAAAAAGCAAAAAAAAAAAAAGAAAAATGCTTGCTTTATTTAAAATACAATGCGTCTCTATCAAATCGCTCTTTTAATATAAAAACATCTTTCCAAAAAATAGGCCACAGTAGAGTGAAACTAAACTATTCTGCTAAGATGGATTGGCAGGAAATAATCGTGATTATGGTCTTTCAATTTTAAACAGAGAAAAGTTAACCATTTAAAAATAAAAGACACAGGAAGAGGTTTTAAAAATAATATACCGCCCATTGTATGCCATTTTCAAGGATTCTGAATAAAATGTAAACCTTTGAAATTCTCAAAATAATGTATACCTTACCTAATTCTTTTTCTTTACAGAAAAGGAAATGTCTAAATTAAAATAAGAGAAAAATGTCAGCTTTTGTCCCTTCTGTAAGGTAATGGATAATCTATTATATCATTGACATTAACTTTTATCCAGAGATGTTAGAGAATAGGCCCAGGTAAAGTATTCAGTGCAATTATGTCTTGTAATCCCTGTGAACTTCTGGTCTATTAACTAGAAAGACTGCCTTCACTCCTCTTGATAAACCTCACTCACTCATCTTTTCTGGGCCCATTGAACATTTTACACTGATAGACCAGGTGTAACGAGTTCCAGGTTCACAGATGTAGCCTTTGTGTCTTTCAGCACATTTCCTGAAAGGATCACCAGACTTTAGTCAGGTAATGATGCAATAATTCATTACTCTGATGTCTTCCTCTTTGAAGCTTTGAAACTATACCTATCTGTCTAAAGACTGAAAATTTCCATGTAAATACCTTATTTTTTTTAACATTTAATAATAAAATATATCATTAAGATATAGTTGCATCCCCATGAAGTATACAAGAGGAGGCCTAAAATACCCGGTTTCATCTAGTTCTATAGTTAAACCTCATTAGTGCAGAAATTACTTAGGTCTATTCTGTGAGTTACTTTACCTGATCCCAAGTCCTATTTCCCGTAGTAACGGGGCTCCATTAACACAATAATAACGCACAGGCTTTTTGGAAAATAATATATTTTAAAATATGAAATTTGAGGAGAATGCTTTAAATGTAAGAGGAGTCCTGGGGGGTAGCAATATTGACGCTTAACAAGTAAGTTGAACTGCCTCGGATTTGGCTGTGGATAATATGGGACTTATAGTTATATTTTGTCTACCTTTTTACAAATGTGTTTTTTTTTGAGAATGATAGTTTTCAATTCCAATATTTTCTATAAATGCAAATGGCTTTAAATTATAAGTTATCATCCTTGTTCTGTATGTTCACTGCCAAACAGGCATGTGGGTAGTTTAGGAAGCAAGAGGGGTTAATAAAGTTTTCAAAATAAGCATGCTACAACCAATGATATTTATTAGGTAAACGAAAAAAAACAAACCTGTTGCGATTGAGCTGATTCCGACTCATATTGGGTAGGAGGCAAAATCTGATAAGGATAAAACTGTCTAAATGTTTTATCTTGATTTAAAAAAAAGTAAAAGGCAGGTCAACAACACCATGTATCCAAAAAGAACATGAAATCAGAATTTAAGTAAGCCCTAGTCAATAAAATTTATAAGGACTTTTGCTGTGTGTCATGAGTGAAAGTGCCTTAGCATTAAAAACCAAGAACCTTCCAGAAAATGAAAGAGAAGGAAAAAAAACACACTTTTTTTTTTTTACTTTCGCTTCTTATTTGTATTTTAAAAAGACTATGTAAAAGAGAAACACAAATTATATCCTCTCTGTATCTCTTTATACAATATTCTCACTTTACCCTGTAAATTGAACTATAAATGTATTAAACATATTCACTAAAGGAGGCATCTTAAATATAATAAAACATATAATCTATTTTAAACATTGGAATCTTACATCTCTATCTTACTTTATCAAAGCAGGACACATCTGTATTTCTATTAATTTTTCATTAAGTGTAAAATAATTCCCATGCTGGAGAAAACAGGAATACCTAGGGGGTAATTGTTTGAAGTTTTAGGCTTTCCTGAATTTACTTCTGTGCACCCATATCCTGGGCCATAAATATTTACTGTATTTTCTATGTGATTGTACTGCTCCCAATATAATTCCTTACATCGGCTTTCCTAGAAGAGATTATATTACAAGTACACATGTTTTAATGATCATCAATTCTGGAAGTTGGTGAGTTCATCTCTTGAAAATTTAATTACCATACTTATCTTTAGTAGGAAAATATCCAGTTATAACTGATATATATATATTTCATACTTGTATTAATTTTTCAAAAGTTGTGTTTGTGTAAGGGAAGAGACTTTAAAGGTACAAGTGGTTTAACTTTTGAAGAACATCTTTCCTATACTAAGAAATTTGCACTTTATTTTGTAATAATTAAATGTTTTTAAGGACTGAGACAAGAACTTTCGTTAGCTGTACAAGCTTGTTTTGAAAAAGATCACCTTGACAGAAACATGGTCCAAGAACTTTTATTAGCTATATAACTTGGCACATATATAGAGCACTTATAAAGTGCTATTTACACTTATGAGTTATTTACCTATATTAATCCTCACAAGGAACCTATGAGTTGGGCACTATTTTTATTCCCATTTTACTGATGTGGAAACAGAGGCAGTTATTATAGCTAGCTAGAGCCAGAATTGGATTTGAAGCTAGGCAGTCTGGCTCCAGAGTCCATATTCTTTGTCATTATGCTATACTGCCACTATTATTTTATTCGTAATGTTTTAAATACAGAAAGAATTTTCAATAAACTGTCACAGAAAATAAGATATTATATTAGTTGAATCTTATTTTATGCACTTGTGTGAATAGTTGCTGACTTTCAAATGACTACAAAATAACATCAATTTCCTATTGCATAGGCTACCAGGCTCCCAATCCTGGCTCTTCTTACCACTCCAGCTTCATCTCTCAACTTGCTGCCATTTGCATCTGTGTTCCAGTCATATCTAAAACGGCCTGTTATCCTTATCCTCACTTTCTACCTCTGCTATGGCCTGTCTGGAAAAAAAAAAAAAAGAATTTGTAAGATTTAATCAAAGACGCTTATATAAACCAATTACTTACCTTTAAGATTAGGTTGATGTCTTTCTCCTTTGTGGCTTAAAAACCATGTAAAGAGTATTATCAGAGCACCTATTACATTTTATTGCACTCATCTTTTTTCATACATCTGTCTCCATCAACTATATTATGAATAAATGAGAGCTGGAACTCTGCCTTAATATATTTTGCATTCCTAGCATAATCTTAATACATATTGGTGAACAAAATGAATGAAAAAATGAATCAATGTATGTGTGATATATCTGTCTGGGCCATTACCACTTGGACATAGTAGAATGCCTGAAGTATTCTTATGTGCAAAACAAAACATAGATTATTGCTGGTTCCTGCACTGGTTTGGCTGAAAAGGATTGACCCCAGCAATATTACTCCAGCAGAGTTGAAGCTCTACAGCCCCTTTTCATTGGAAAAAATATTTCAATAAGAGAGAATAACTAATAAGATAATTGTTACCTGCTTGTAGCATTGTCGGCTCAGTCCATGGACAGTCATTTCTAACACTGCTTCGATAATCTCCCTTCCTTTCTACTGGAAATTGATCTACCAGGAGATAGGCAGAAGCTGGTCTTGCACTTCATGTTTAATCATTCCCAGTTCTCATTCTTCTACAATCCTAGGCAAGGGCAGAATAGTAAAGGAAATTCCTTAGAGTCAAGAATCTGACTCAATCTGCCAAAAGAGTGCATTAGTCTTGCTCCAGCTAAATCCAATTAGAACCCCTGTGTGAAGTTCTGTTATAGAATTTTCTTCCTACCAGATTAACTTCTGTTAGATTGCTTCTTCTAACAAGGTGGAAATAAGTACATTGTAGTTTACTCTGAAAACTCAGGCACTTTTTATTAAGTGATAGGTCCTCGAAAAATTCCAATAGAAAATTTCTAAATAGGAAATTTCTTATTTGAATTTTTTTTCTTCTTTCTTTCATTGTACTTTTTTATTGTATTTTAGATGAAAGTTTACAGAGCAAACTGATTTCTCACTGAACAATTAATACACATACTGTTTTGTGATATTGGTTGCCAACCCCACAACATGTCAACATTCAAAAATATGGAACGCTTCACAAAATTTGCGTATCACCCTTGTGCAGGGGCCATGCTAATCTTCTCTGTATTGTTCTAATTTTAGTATATGTGCTGCAGAAAGGAGTAACTTATTTGAAATTTTTTATGGAATTTTAACCTAATGAATACATTGTAGAATGTAGGGTCTTCATATTTCTTGTTCAAAACAAAACATAAAATTGAGGAATTAGTCTTGATAGTAATGTAAAAATCCTAAAGCTGTTTTCATATTAAAAAAAAAAAAAAAATTGGAAAAATTCCAACTTATTTAATTACATTCTGCCTTCCTAAATTCTGGTGATTGGTAAAAGTGAGGTACTTTACAAAAACATGTTTTTATTAAATAGTGACTCATGAGACTTTTAACTACAATTAAATCAGGGATAATAATTTGTAAATGCTGCAATTTCCATATCCATATCAAAATAATTGGCTATTATTTTTCTTTTGGATTAGTTTTATGCCTGTTGCTTTCCATATGAAAATTTACAGGATACATTTTCCATTTTAATTTAACAAAAAATTGAGCTTAATTTTTTAATTAGTTAATTTAACAAAAACTTACTTTGCCTCACCTTCAACCATTGTCTCTTCTTTTATTTATTATCAAACCTTTTGAAAGCATAATTTATAGTTGCTCTTTCATCTTCTTTTGTAGCACAACTGATACCTATCTGGCTTTTGCTCCTGATCCCACCCATTGCCGTCGAGTCAATTCCAACTCATAGTGACCCTATAGGACAGAGTAGAACTGCCCCATAGGGTTTCCAACAGTGGCTGGTGGCTTTGAACTGCCACCCTTTTGGTTAGCAGTTGAGCTCTTAACCAGTATGCCACCAGGGCTCCTGATAGTCACCTGAAAAAATTGGCACTCACATCACCAATTCTCACATGATTGCTAACTATGGTAGCTGCATATTGCATTTTGTTTTGTTTGATTTATAGGTAACATCCTTCTTGAAATCCACTTTTTCTTGGTGTTATGACATTGCTAGTTCCTGGCACAGTAGGTAGGATAGGATAGGTCATGTTGAGTAACAAACCCAGTGACTTAACACAATTAAGTTTTTTACCTATGCCAGTTGTAACATGAGTTAGGTGATTTTTTCCCCTCTTGAGGCTACGCTGTCTGGAGAGTTTGGTCTCCCAGGTTGCTATGCAAAAGGAAGAAGGCAAGAAGGAGGCTTATTGGCTCTTATCTTCCTCATGTCACAATTGCTTAGAGTCTATTGGCCAAAATTATTCCTATGGCCGCAACCCAACTGCAAGGAATTGTTTAGTGACATGTTTGGTGAGCACTGCCTCTGCTACACCTGGTTTTTATCTTAGCGTGCTAATCATTCCTTTCCCATCTCCTGGTTCTCTCTCACACCTAGAAGCCATTTTCAGCCTTCTTCTCTCAGACTGAAACTCTTACTGAGTAATTCCATTCATTTATCTGGATTAATATATGTACTCTGATAAACCTCAATTATTTATCCATTACTTTTTCAATTTTCCTAAGTTTTTGACATACACTCCCACATATTAAGAGACATCACAACCTGAAAATGTCACAGACACTACAACAAACTCAACATGTCTCACACTGAAATGTTCTCCCGTCCCAAACTCCGCCCACTTTGTGTGCACATCCAGCCACTCAGATAAACATCTGTAGTCATCATCAACTCCTCCTTCTCTCCCACTTCGCACAGCTCCTACTGATAATAACTCCAAATTGCATGTAAACTTTTAATCGCCACTCCCATTATCATAATTTAAGTCACCATTTTTTTTTACCTGGACTAGTGAAAAAACCTCTTTAACTGGTTTCTACTTGTCTTCCCATTCTTCATGTGTTGTGCTGATGCATATCTTTAATACTTGCATTAATTTTCTTAAATTTTATCAGGTCAAGCAATGTGGCATAAAGATAGAATTGGCTTATAGTTCAAAGGGTCTTTTGCCTATGCTAAGGAATGTGTATTCTATCCTGTCAGAGGAGAATATTTTTAAGGATACAAACATGAGCAAGCTTGTTTTTAAAATGATCAGGAGAAATACAAAGGATACCTTGAAGAAGACAGAAAATCAAATCAGAGAGAAACATTAGGAAACCATTTCAACAGATCAGTTAATATAGGGTAACTGTTATTAGCACTCAGATAAACTTGTAGATTGAAGTTCCAGTACAATGTCCGTGTTCCATAAGTTGAAGTTCATCATTTTAATATGATTCTTTTGTACATGGATTCATATGTTAAAAAATACTTTAAAATTAAAACTTGATGATAGTTAACCTATAAGGCAGGCAGCAATACTATCCTTTCAATCTAACATTACGATGAGGTTCCCCTGAAATAAGGGCATTTCTATAATTGTTCTTTTTAAAAATGACCTTTCTTTTTCTTCCAACAAGACTAATCAAGTCAGATAACCTTGGCTATTTCTCTAAGAGTCACAGTATAAAGAATTTAGTAACTAAGTTACTATGATGTATGAAGTTACATCATATCTTAAGAAGGGTTTTTCTAATTCAATTTTAAGAAAAAAAAAAGTAGGCTCAAAATCTTATGCTTTTTAATATGCCATGTTTACATTGCTTATTATTATTCTCTATATCTTCTTTTTCTAAAATTTATTACTTTTATATATTTCAAAATCCTTAAATCTTTTCTAAAATTGATTTGTAGATTTAGATTTATTCATTCATTGTTCATACAATAGGTAAATCTAGGAAATGTACTAAAAAGGACTGAAGCTCTTCTGGACTTGGTAGAACTTGCAAAGATACTTCTGTTCCCCTCAGAGAATGCAGAAGGTTGAAAAATATCTCCAAAACAGAAAAGCAAAACATCACTAAAGCTGAAATAATCATAACATTTAACAAGACAGCTGCCAATTTACAGTCTGAAAGGGAAAACAGCAACATTTATAGACTCTATTTAATTATATATTTATAATTCTATAAGATATATTTAATATCTATAATGGCTTTATTATACTATACAATATATTATAATGTATATATAATGTATTATATATCATATTATAATAATTAATTAATATATATTAATAATATATTTCAATACAATTCAAAGAATTGTGTTTAAAAGTCAGTTAAAGGATAAAATGTTGCAGATTCATCCCTGTTAAAAGATGTTTTTTCATAAATATATACCGTCTTCCGACAGTGCAGCCCACCCTAAGCAAAACACTCCCCAGATGGGACCGGGGAATGTTTTGTTTGTCTGCTTTTGTTTTTACTGTGCTAAATAGATATGTAACAAAACATATGTTCTTTCAGCATTCTTCACATATCCAGTTCAGGCACATTGTGTTCATCATGCTGTGCAGCGTCACCATTATTCTATACGTTGGTTTTGCTTTTTAAAACAGCTTAATTTAGGTATAATTAGCATACAATAATCTTCATTTATTTAAAATATAGAATTTGATATATCTTGACATTTGTATATACCAGTGAAACCATCATTACAATGAAGACAGTGAACATACATACACATCCTTCCAAGTTTCCTTGTGTTCTTTGTAGTCCCTCAATCCCACGACTCCCTTTATCCCCTCCACCCTGTAACAATCACTGATTTACTTTGTTACTAGAGATTTGTTTGAATGTTTGAAAATTTTTTATAAATGACATTTTCAAAGAATGTACTCTTTTTGGGGAGAGGTCTGGCTTCGTTCGCTCAGTATAATTCTGAGATTCATACATGTTTGTTATTGCAAGTATCAATGTATTATTTTACTGGTGACTAGTCTATTGTAAGGATATACAGCTATGCGCTGCATAATGCAGATTTGGGCAACCTTCCACCGCATGTACGTCCGTGGGGCAGGGAGGAGGGGTTTACTTGGAAGGGCGGGGGCCTGCGTTGAGTTTGCTGCGCGAGGCAGCTACCGCTGGGCTCCAGGGGCTGCCCGTGATGCAGCGTCCAGCTCCTGAGCAGTGGCAACGGGGAGCCGGGGCTGTTGCAGCTCACGTGACTGCAGCTGGCGCGTGCGTCGCACGGCAGCCCTGCAGGTTGGTGCCTGTGGGCAGACGCTGGGCTGCGGCTGCTCCACTAAGTCCCTCTGGGCTTCCAGTTCTGACCAGCCTCCCCGGAAGTTGCTCAGAGAGCGCCAAGCGCACAGAGGTAGCCAATTTACACGTGCAAGATTGCAAACCCTGTGGCTGAGGGCGCTAAGGGAGAGCCAGAGCAGCTTGCGATGTGGTTACATTGATACACGTGTGTTGAATATATACTAACATGTACTATAGTTAACAGGGTGTTCCCCACAACGTCCAAATCACATAATGTCCTATTTCAGAAAAGTAGTATTCGTGTAGTGGACGTTAGGCATTTCTGTATTACAGTTGGTCATCTATTCATCTGTTAGTGGACATTAAGTTATTTATAGGTTTTGACTATTATAAATAACATTATTATGAACATTTGTGTATAAGCCTTTGTATGGACATATGGTCTCATACAGAATAAAATAGATGGATCATTTAGTATGCGCATGTTTAACTTTTAAGGAAATTGTCAAATTGTGTTGTAAAGTTGTTGCTCTAGTTTGCACTCCCTTCAGCATTGTACGCAACTTTCAGTTTTGCCACATCCTTGCCATTGCTTAGTATGGTAGGTCTTTTTAATTTTTGTAGGCTTATAGTGTTGTATCATTTTGGTTTTAATTTGCATTTTTCTAATAAATAATAGTTTTGAATGGGCTTGTCTGTTATCCATCTTCTTAACTGAAGTATCTGTTCAAATTTTTGTCCATTTTATTATTAGATTGTTGTTTTGTTATTATTAAGTTTTGAGAGTTGTTCTTATATTCTGGATACAAGTCCTTTATAAGATGTATGCTTTCCAAATATTTTTTCCAGAATTTCTTTTGTCTTTTCATTTTCTTAATAGTTTCTTTAGAAGAGCAGATTTTTAAAATATGAAGTTTGATTTTTTTTTTTTTATGAATCATGCTTTTGGTGTTGACTCTAAGAAATTTTCACCTCAGAGTTAGTACTAGAAATGTTAAAATTAGAAGTTTTATAGTTTCAAGGTTCACATTTATGTCTATGATCCATTTAATTTAAATCCT